AATGTTTAAGTAAAATTATGAACCTAAGTTGCGACAACTTTTGTCGACTTTTGTTTCATAACTCGTTTGACTTCAAGACTTATGATACGGATATTATATGATTAAAATACCTTAATAAATGACCTCTTGAGTGTATTAAGCACCGCTAGATTACCTGAAAATACGAGTTACAACATCCTTGATTCGTTTAACTTCTAATACTGGTTAATCACCCTTATACACTCTTGTATCACTTAAGACCAATAGGATTGACTTCTTATCATCTAAAAGATAATTCCTTCTTGGATTTATGTTAACTAATATATGGCATGAACTAACACATGTGGATATGGGTTGTAACACATCACTTAACAACAAAACCTACTCTCCAATTCCAATCTAGTTCGGTGTTGGCTATATAATCCTTGATATCTATTCCACTCAATTTGACCCCATTTCATTCTAATTTTAATATTTTCTCTTAGATCAAACTTTGGAGCTCCCTAAATTTGGTTGCTGAAAGTTCGTAGCAGATACCAAATTGAAGTGGTTTACAGATTTTCCCTCTTTTCCTTCTCTTTATTTTATTTTTTATTATCAAATGTATCACCTTTTAGCCCCATAAAACAAATGAAGGTTAAATGGACTACATGGGATTGTGGTGTCTAAATTCCCTCAATTCATAGATTGGGGGAAGTCTTTTAGGAGAAAAACATGATAGATGTAACTCATAGAATTGAAACAGAATGGCGGAAATGGAGTTCTAGAGGAGTGTTATACGATACTACTAGTTGAGAGACTAATCATGAATTTACTATGGAATAAACAGAATGGCGGAAATGGAGTTCTAGAGGAGTGTTATACGATACTACTAGTTGAGAGACTAATCATGAATTTACTATGGAATAAACAGAATGGCGGAAATGGAGTTCTAGAGGAGTGTTATACGATACTACTAGTTGAGAGACTAATCATGAATTTACTATGGAATAAACAGAATGGCGGAAATGGAGTTCTAGAGGAGTGTTATACGATACTACTAGTTGAGAGACTAATCATGAATTTACTATGGAAATTCCAAGTGAAATGTAAGTCTATGGGAGTAATATGGAATGTCTTTGGTCCAATACATCCAGAATTTGAATTTACTAGAAATGTGGATGTTAAGATTGCGCAGTCATAAAAGATTGAATAAGATGTGGTAATCAGGGTTTATGAGCATTTGGTGCATTCTGATACTTAAAGTGGGGCAACAATTGGGAAGCACATTCATGACCTGGTGAACTATGGCTCACGTGGTGTTTAGGGCCACAATTTTCCATCTAGAACATGGGTTCAGTGGGTTTAGACAAGCTATTGGAATCTATGGCTAATATCTATGTAGATTGTTGCAGCATATGTGGGAATCTTCATCAAATATTTTACAAGCAAGCCCTTCTTCCACATTGCCATGAAGGGCCTAAATGCATTTTGAATGGGCGAGGCATTTAATCATCAATCTATAACATGCACATGACCTTTTCTTCCCTCTTCTTCGTTTTTAGAGTGGGATTCTATAACTTTTGCTTTCTGATGAATCAGGACGGAGGTGTGTCAATTTACAAATTTGACCAGGCTAAGAATAATCATGGTGGTACTCTTAGTAGACCTGCTTCTGTTCAGCGTGCCTTATCCATTTTGGAAATGGAGGTCGAGCAGATAAACAAAGGAAAATATGAGCACTACATGCAAAAAGAAATTCATGAGCAACCAGAATCTCTAACTACTACAATGCGAGGGAGACTTATACGTGGAGGATCATGTAAAGCAAAGACTGTGCTTTTAGGGGGCCTGAAGGATCACCTCAAAACCATAAGAAGAAGCAGGAGAATTCTTTTTATTGGGTGTGGCACAAGTTACAATGCAGCTCTAGCTGCAAGATCCATTTTGGAAGAGCTTTCTGGTTAGTTGTTTAAACTTCTGATAAAGTTGTTTTGATCTCTATAGCGACGGACAAAAGGTAGATCCTAGAGTAGCTTTGGTCTCACTAGTTTTATTTCTCAAATTTAGGTATTCCTGTAACCATGGAGATTGCCAGTGATTTAGTGGACAGACAAGGGCCGATATATAGAGAAGATACAGCTGTCTTTGTTAGTCAATCAGGAGAAACTGCTGACACTTTGCTTGCATTAGAGTATGCTCTGGAAAATGGCGCATTATGTGTTGGCATTACAAATACTGTTGGTAGCGCAATTGCTAGGCACACTCACTGTGGTGTTCACATAAATGCGGGCTGTGAGATTGGAGTTGCAAGTACTAAGGTAGGTACTCATGGTTTCTTGAATTTTATTGGTCACCTTTAGTGTTGGCTTCTCAATTACCTCCTTGATCAACAGGCATACACGAGCCAAATTGTTGTGATGGCCATGTTGGCTCTTGCAATTGGAGGTGATACACTCTCAAATCAAGCAAGAAGAGAAGCAATAATCGATGGTCTATTTGACTTGCCAAGTAAGTTGTCATTTGGTGCTAACATTATTGTTTCTATTTGTCCCTAAATGTCATGGGATGCTCATGGTTCTAGTATATCCTTTTTTTGGCTATGTTATACATGAATTTCAGGCAAAGTGAAAGAGGTGCTCAAGCTTGAT